GGGGGGGGGGGGGGGGGGGGGGTAATGAATTTAATAAACTAGAACTGACTAGAACAAAAACAATTATTTATATTTTAGCTTTCCTTCCGTTCCGTAAACTCTACCGTGGACACGAAGAAAGATCAGGTTCGGAGAATCCTCCAGCTTCCCCCAACCCAGGAGCCCAGGGTTAAAGAAATAGAAGTTGCTTTAACTACATATTTGCGCAGAGCCACGGAGACATTTGATCTGTCCAAGAATGTTGAGGTGAGTGTATAAATACAGGTTGGGAGATTGGTTTAATTTCAATCCAATTTCCACCATCTGATCTGGAAATCTGAGTACCGTAAACTGACCTAATGGCAATTTTGAGGGGGGGGGGGTCCTGGAGCTCACAGACAGTTAGTTCCACAACCCCTACATTTTATCATGAACAGTGTTTAAAGGTTTTACATTTTTACTTTTACCATCAAGATAATTTTACCCGTTTAAAATATCTTTTACGGGCATCTAATCCATCTAAAAAGGTTCACAGGTCAAATTGGGTTTAAGAAAATTTCTCCCCTGCCGGATGAAGTTTTAAAACTGTCTGATATTGCCTGGGTTTCAATAGTTTCCTCGGTTTCCAGCTGAAGTGCACTTGATATCTTATCAGATCTTCTCTCCGACATTATCCCCCTGTTATAGGGCAACCTTTTAGTTTAATGTGGGGTAACCATTAAACATTTGTTCTGAGTAGGAAACTTAAAGGGACTGTAGACGTAATTTCAAGTGACCTTCCGTTAAAAAAAGTGGCATTTCCGATTCAGAGAGGTACCTTTAGGAATCATAAATCCTGAGTTTAAGCGCAAAGTCGACGTTCAAACTCGTACTTTTGGGTGGATACGTTATCAGAATTGTTTTTTTTAAATTATTAAATAAGGACGACAAAAAATGTAAACAAAATTCTACAGTAAACTAATTAGTTGTTTAGGAACAGGTTGAAAAAATAAAAATTAACTCTTATCATCGAAAATAAATAATCTTATTTTATTATTAGTTTCTATAATCTCTCTTTTATAACAAAGATTTTCTGGAATTTTTATTAAAAAGACGACATTTGAAGAATTTGAAGAAATCTGCGAACAAATTCATAGAAAATAAGAATTCAATATAATGATGAAAAATGAAATAATTAATTTTAACTTCGATATTGAGAAATTCCTGTTCCTAAACATCTAATTAGTTTACTATAGAATTTTTACTATATTTTTAGTCGTCGTTATTTAATAATTAAAAAAAAACCCTAATCTGAAAACGTACCCATCCAAATTCATGATTTTGAACGTCGACTTTGCGCTCAAACTCAGTAATTATACATCGTAGAAACGTTTTCTTCGTCTCAAATGAATCCTAAACAATTTGTCCACAACACTGCATACTCAGTTTAACTACCTTACATAGCCGGTCTATCCCTTTAAACCTCTTGTCTGAGTAAGAATAAGAAAGATATAAGGTTTAAGGTTAAATTGTGAATCGGATATACCCCACTATAAATTGTGGGCACTCGGAGTTAGGTCTACAGCCCCTTTTATAACAAAATGCCTACATTGGGTTTGTATCGTGGATTTTTTATCAATGTTTTATGCAGATTTTCTCAAAAATATTTATTTATAAAAAAAGCCATGCCAGTAATTAAAATAATTTTAAAGTTAAAAAACCTTATTTTCTGTCCTTAGGAGGTTTGTAACCAGATCTGGGCAACCCTGTACGATTATCCCTCCCTAAAGTCCTGCGACGGATTGATCAGATACATCAAGGAGTGCGTCCGGACCGCCTGGGGGCTCATCAATCAGGTGGATAATTAATCAATTAATCCATCAAAAGTAGCATATTTACGCGGCATCTGTACTTAAACCTAGGTTTTTAAGATGATACAGATACTTTATTTGATACTAATAAAATACAATATCGATATCTCACAATTTACAACTTTAATATTTCAATTTCAAGAAATCAATATTTTTTCTTTAATCTTGTTTAATGAGATACTTACTTCCCTGTAAATCCATCATCTGACTATTTGTCCTAACATTTTATTGAGAAACAGCTGACTTTTTCACTAAAGGGATTGTTGACGAAATTTTAAGTGTTTCATCATTTAGAAAGTGCCACCAACAGTCATCTTTAAAGATATGTTTCTAAGAAAAGTTTGGCCTAAGACACCTTTGAAAGTTTAAAGTTGCTTCTATAGCTTTTCTTTAATGCGTTCGATGGATTTCTACAGCACAGAGATGAGCAAGAATATTGTCAAAGTTCGTTTTATTTTATTTGCCCGTTTTTCGTAAACCATCCCTTTAAACGAAGGTGTGTCAGCTGTTGCAGAATAATATTAGCTTTGAAAGGTTTGCTCTAGCCCTCTACAGTCACTGTTGGTATTTTTGTTTACAATGCCATTGCATGTTTAGTCTAGGGTGTCCCATTGAGCATAACAGTAAGGAGACGCCTGATATAGTACAGGGTGTCCCAGCAAACATGACAGCTGAGAGACGCCTGATATAGTACAAGGTGTCCCAGTTACCAAAACAGTTGAGAGACGCCTGATATCGTACAGGGTGTCCCATTAAACATGACAGTTGAGAGACGCCTGATATCGTACAGGGTGTCCCAGTTAACATGACAGCTGAGATTCGCCTGATATTGTACAGGGTGTCCCAGTTAACATGACAGCTGGGAGACGAATGAAATATCGTCTTTAATTTTTGATGGCTATCTAATGAAAACAATGACTATGGCAAGTATTTACTTGGTTTAGGTTGACAAAGAAATGCCGCAAATTATTTCAAAGATCAAAGACGTTCTATCAACTGTCATATTAAATAGGAAACCCTGTATGATAAAAGTTGATGATGCACAGGGTTTCGTCCCATCAGCTAAATCTTCTCATCAAACGTAGCTAAATATGGCTTCAGCATTCATTGTCGATACAACACTGGCCAAGTCTGACAGGAATTTTAAAGAGCTCGGACCCCGGGATATCTTTAACCCTCTCCTAGGGACTTATATTATATCTTTAGTTGAGTAATCAGCCTCCTACTTTACTTAATCATTCTTCAGACTGACTACAGAATGTTAGATACAAGGTGTCCCCAAAAACATGGGAATTTAATGACGAATTCGATATCGTCTTTTTATGAATTAGCATTGTAATGCCTAATTTCAAAAGCCATAATATTATTATGTCTGCTAGAGTTTATTTTATGAAAAGGGTAAAAGACTGCAACGATGTGTCTATAATGTCTTCCCAAGATGAACAGTGAAGTTTGTATACTGCAATTTTCTTGTTTTACTAAGTACAACCGTATGCAGTCAAAACATTAACAAACAAAATGTGAACATAGCAGACGAAACTCTTCCAGATTACAGCTTTCCCAGTAGGTATTACTATACTAAATCAAAGAATTATTTGAAAACACGATATCGAATTCGTCACTGAATTCCCATGTTTATTGGGACACCCTGTACCAGAGAGTCCTATTTGTGGGACATTGAAAATTTGTAATAAACATATTCTTTAAAATTATCAAAGCTGAATCAAGAATTAGGCCCTTTGCAGTTTTGAATCTTCATATCCAGGGTTACAAAAACTATAATTGGGTTGGTTAAGGTTAAGATAATAATTTTTTGGATATCTGCGGAAATGGTATTATATAGATATTAGAGTATCTAAATTTTTGAATCATAAAAATCTACGAATTTTGCTAATACTAACCTTTCTCTGTTTAGACTCCGAGTTACAGCATTGAGTACGAGACCAGACGATTCCGTCCTGAGTTCCATGTTAGGTTTCATAGTTCTAACCTCTCCAGTACCACAATATCAACCTACCTATGGCCAGCACTACTAGAGACACTATCTGGCAACTGTGTACAGAAAGGGGTTGTTATCACATAAACAGTTGTAAAAGGTACCTGGAGAATAGAAATATTGTGAAACCAGAAAGAGGCAAATATTTGAACCTGAAGAATATATCCAACCCTAGATAGATTTTATCTAAACCCGGATAGAATATATCCAAACCCAGAGAGATTATATTTAAATCCGGATAGAATATATCCAAACCAAGAGAAATTATATCTAAACCCGGATAGAATTTATCCAAACCCAGAGTCAAGGTTATATCTAAACTCGGTTAGAATTTATCCAAACCCAGAGAGATTTTATCTAAACCCGGATAGAATTTATCCAAACCCGGTGTGACGTGATAATCAGCCTGTGCGTAAAATAATGTCCGGGCTACTGCATTTTTTGACACTTTCCCTGGACATTATTGAATTATAAAAGCATTTTTATACACTTTCTGTTTGTAAACTATGTTGTTTAATAAATTTTTAAATGTAGAAATACTAGAAAAAAATGTAAAAAACCATGGCATGTACCATTTATGTAACGTTGATTCGCAATGTCGTAATATTTAAAGGAATCTAAAAACAGATATTGTTAAATTTGTTGATTCAGGCCCAATACAGTAGCCCAGACATTATATCACGCCCGGGCGGATTCTCACGTCACACCGGATAGAATATATCTAAACCCGGATGGAATATATCTAAACCCGGATAGAATATATCTAAACCCGGATAGAATATATCTAAACCCGGATAGAATGTATCCAATGAAGAAGCAAATATCTAAACCCAGAGAAATTATTCAACAGCAGAGTATATATCTAAACCAGGAAAAATATACAGTAGGACCCATAAAACTGTGCAATAGGAAGACGACTTTTAAGCGTCTTTTGTATATTTGATTTAATTATAAAGCAAGTGGTTTTAGCAGTGGCTTGAAAGATCCACTTATGTTATGAAATGGGTCTGTTTACACTATACCATGTGTTTCGGTGGACAATTTAGAACTATAACTTCAATCTAACAGTCAAGGTTATAATGCAATGAAAGTTATTTCAGAGGTTTACACATCTTCTGTGCTGTAGTGTACTGTCTCTAGGGGGTAATGTAAACACAAGATTGAGGAGACAGGTAGAGAGGGAGGGCGGAGGGTGTAAAGTCTAATAAAGAGACGAATAATAAAAATGCACAATAATTTTTAAATTTTTTAAAATGTTGAAGATTTCTTTGTAAATGCATAAAATAATATCCAAATTTAAAAGTTTATGATAAAATGAATTTATCTAGGTTTTTATGCCATAAAAACAATTTACATTTTCAAAAATGTTAATTATTTATTTGGGGTCTCCGATGAAAACTTTGGGGTCTCCGTTGACAATGTCGGGGTCTCCGGTATGGTAGCGGCTGGGGTCTCCTGTGGGACGGGGTCTCCGGTACCAATTCGCAACTGCAATTAACTTTCCTTGCATTATAACCTTGCTAACAGTCATCTTCCTATTCCAGAGTATCATGGGTTATATGTATAAAAGAGGAAAAGTATTCAAAGCGAAGGATATAATAAGACACAAAAATACAATAAATCTTATAAAATTTATATTTCTATGAAAAAACTTAAATAAAGTAACACTTATTTAAATGTATAAACAAGCTCAATTGTTTCAAAATTATGATTATACAGCTTTTACTTATTATATAATATGTTAAACATACACTTATTTTTATGATACATTAAGACTTTCCATTTACATCGTATCCAAGCCTGTAATTATTAAAAGTATTTGTGTGTGTTTGTTTTGCACGTTTCAAACTTATTTTTTTGTACACAACTGAAGATGTTCCTAAGTAATCATAATTCCGGCAATACTTTGAACCTGATAAGATTTTAAAGTTCAGTAAAAAATGTGTTAATTAATTGATTAATTGATTGATAGTTGATCTAGTCACGGCATTTTGTATTTTTTATCGCTTCGTAATCTTCAAAATTGAATAAATATATCATTATTGAGTAAATTCATTTTTATTTCAATTCTTAGGTTGGATTTTAGAGGAGTAGCTAGGATTGGTTAGGATGGATTAGAGAGAAGTAGCTAGGATTAGTTAGGATGGATTAGAGAGTAGTAGCTAGGATTGGTTAGGATGGATTAGAGAGGAGTAGGTAGGATTAGTTAAGATGGATTAGAGAGGAGTAGCTAGGATTGGTAGTAGGATTTGTTGGAAGAATTAAGGTTGGTTAGGTTGGATTGTATTGAAGATGGAGTAGGGTTGGTTAAGTTGGATTATATTGAAGATGGAGTAGGGTTGGTTAGGTTGGATTATATTGAGGATGGAGTAGGGTTGGTTAGATTGGATTATATTGAAGATGGAGTAGGGTTGGTTAGATTGGATTATATTGAAGATGGGGTAGGGTTGGTTACATTGGATTAAAATGAAGTTGAAGTTGAAATTGCTGCTAGGGTTGGTACAAAGACAAGATGAGTTTTAAGTTCAACAAATAACTCATTAAAATATTTGCTAAAGAATTATAAAGGAGTTTTGTAAATAAATATCATCCTTCATAATTACTGACATGTGTTGACATTTTTGGGTGGAAGAGAATTAATAGTTAATACAAATCTTCTTTACATTAATAATATTCATTATGACTTTTATTTTCTGGATATTCTAATATCAGAAATTTACTTAATCCAAATATCAAAATTTTGGAATACAAATATTACGGTTAAAGTATTTTTAAATACTTAATAAATTAATGTTAATGGAATTGTAACTTAATAGAAGAATTAGAAATAATCTTTAATTTTATGAAAACTTTTTTTGATTAATGTTTTTATTTAGTTTTTTAACTCCCTCCCCCCTGACCTTCACATTGTTAAATTGACAATGATTTAACATAAGCTCAATAGAGTTTAAGATCTTTGTATAAAGAATTTTTATTATCCTTAGATTGTACAAGCAGGAAGAGAACATTCTCTAGGTTCTACAGTTTACCTAGATACAGATTATTGACAGGAAGAGTATTCTCTAGGTTCTACAGTTTACCTAGATACAGATTATGGACAGGAAGAGAACATTCTCTAGGTTCTATAGTTTACCTAGATACAGATTATTGACAGGAGGTGAACATTCTCTAGGTTCTACAGTTTACCTGGATACAGATTATTGACAGGAAGAGAACATTCTCTAGGTTCTACAGTTTACCTGGATACAGATTATTGACAGGAAGAGAACATTCTCTAGGTTCTATAGTTTACCTAGATACAGATTATTGACAGGAAGAGAACATTCCCTAGGTTCTACGGTTTACCTAGGTACAGATTATTGACAGGAAGAGAGTATTTCTTAGACTTGTTAATATCTTGCTCCAGAAACAAATTGTTGGACCTGTTCTTACTCCTTACTCCTAACTCCTTACTCCTTACTCCTTACTCCTCACTCCTTACTCCTTACTCCTTACTCCTTACTCCTTACTCCTTACTCCTTACTCCCTACTCCTTACTCCTTACTACTTACTACTTACTCCTTACTCCTTACTCCGTACTCCGTACTCCTTACTCCTTACACTTTACTTCTTAGTCACCCAACCTTATGTCCTCAAACCTAGGTCTGTCCTTGCAAACATTTTGTTTTGTTTTGTTGCATAATTTGTAAAATCAAGACAATATGTAATATTTGTAATATTTGACAACATGTGAGGAGTAAGGTTGTATGCATCTGTCACATCAAACACAGGAAAATAGAGTAAGGAAGTAGATCTTTGCTACAAACTCGGATTTTCTCATCCCATATATCTTTGAAACGTAGTTCTTTTTGATAAAGTAATCTAAGTTTAAAAATCAAAGGTTTACACCATCATGTTGAAAAGATATAGAGATAAGAAAATTTGAGTTTGTGGCCAAAACTCTATTCCTTTGTAAAAAAATCAGCTGTAAGCTGTAAGAAGAAACATGAGTTACAAAATAAATTGCTAAATATTATCATAATTTCTAAATTGATCCCAAATCCCATTTTGTAAAAGCTATTTCATCCTGGTTATTTACATTTCTCCTAACCTTTCAAAGCTGTAATAACAATAAACATTGAATACTAACCACTTAGCTATAAAAGAAGCAAAAATATTTAAAAACCGAATCCAATTCTTTATTCTCCAATCAATCTCTCTTCTTGGTTGAACGTCCTTAAGTTTAAATCTCCGGAAGAAAAATGGTTCCGCAGATCCCTGACAAATTGATTTGGATAATGTATACACACAACTTGATCGATGACAGGTTTTTCTCCGGGGTTAAAATCTAGGTGTGGAGGTTTTAAGAGTTGATCATGCATGCTTAACCCTCGATCTTACTCCGCACTCCAACCCAACCCTAACTCTGCAAATTAAATTTTATAATTTACAAGGGGGGATTCATCAAGCGTTAAGGTTTTTACAACATGGAGGGGAAACTTCATGCTACCCTGGACAATAGATACAGCAATATATATTATATATGTTTATTAATTAGAATATTAGCAGTTTAAGAAGACAATATTTCGCACAAGCTAAACTCTGTCTCCTCTGTTTTTTCTTTTAAGAATATTTCAGAAGTTTGTATTTCAGGGGTTTGTATTTCATGAGTTTGTATTTCAGGAGATGTATTTCAGGAGTTTGTATTTCAGAAGTTTGTATTTCAGGGGTTAGTATTTCATGAGTTTGTATTTCAGGAGTTGTATTTCAGGAGTTTGTATTTCAGAAGTTTGTATTTCAGGAGTATGTATTTCAGGAGTTTTTATTTCAGGAATTTTGTATTTCAGGAGTTTGTATTTCAGGAGGAGTTTGTATTTCAGGAATTTTGTATTTCAGGAGTTTGTATTTCAGAAGTTTGTATTTCAGGAGTTAGTACTTCAGAAATTGGTAATTTAAGGAGTTTGTATTTCTGGAGTTCATATTTCAGGAGTTTGTTTTTTCAGAAGTTTGTATTTCAGGAATTTTGTATTTCAGGAGTTTGTATTTCAGGAGTTTGTATTTCAGGAATTTTGTATTTCAGGAGTTTGTAATTCAGAAGTTTGTATTTCAGGAGTTAGTACTTCAGAAATTGGTAATTTAAGGAGTTTGTATTTCAGGAGTTTATATTTCAGGAGTTTGTTTTTTCAGAAGTTTGTATTTCAGGAGTATGTATTTCAGGAGTTTTTATTTCAGGAATTTTGTATTTCAGGAGTTTGTATTTCAGGAATTTTGTATTTCAGGAGTTTGTATTTCAGGAGTTTGTATTTCAAGAGTTTGTATTTGAGGAGTATGTATTTCAGGAGTATGTATTTCAGGAGTTTGTATTTGAGGAGTATGTATTTCAGGAGTTTGTATTTCAGGAGTTTGTATTTCAGGAGTTTGTATTTCAGGAGTTTGTATTTCAGAAGCTTGTATTTCAGGAGTATGTATTTCAGGAGTTTGTATTTCAGGAGTTTGTGTACAAATGTGATAGAAATACAGAGGACAATATACTTATCCTTGAAATATTGTAATAAGCTGGAGAAATATATGAGAGAAGAATATTGCAGGGTTCCAGGTTACTGGAGACAAGGTTAGGGTTCTATTATCTCCGAGTAGTTAAACATATCCTTCAATATGTAGAGTCAATATTTATAGGGAATGTCACGGCGATCTGAATATGAAAAGTTCAAAACTTTGCTCGTCTTAGTTCTAAATGAGTATTTGGAAAAATTCTGATAAATGTTCGCATCAGAAGGAATATCGTGTGGCTTTCATGTGTCACCTTTTTACGTTCTGAAATAGATTAAATTCACATAAATAGCGGATGATAAAAAGCTTTTTTAAGTATCATGGTCATTTCTATCCAACCCCGGGTAAGGTAGTGATCTCAATAGATTGGACAGGTTCGGAGTAAAAACATTATTCTCCTGACATGTTCGCTATACTTGGAGCTAAACCCGTACAATTCAAATAATTCTGTACTTTCAGGTCTCATTGTGAAAATATTGCACCTTCAGGTACCATTATAGGTTCTCATGTAGAGACATTTCTCGGGTTCCATTACAGGCTCTCTTGATCTTTCGTGTTCCATCACAGTTTTCTTAAAATCTTTCAGGTTCCATTACAGGTTCTCTTGATCTTTCAGGTTCCATTACAGGTTCTCATGTAGAGACATTTTTTAGGCTCCATGGCAGGTTCTCTCGATCTTTCGTGTTCAGGCTCCATTACAGGTTCTCTTAATCTTTTGGGTTCCATTACAGGTTTCCTTAATCTTTCAGGTTCCATTACAGGTTTTCTTAATCTTTCAGGCTCCAATTCAGGTTCTCTTGATATTTCGGGTTCCAATTCAGGTTCTCTTAATCTTTCAGGTTCCATTACAGGTTTTCTTAATCTTTCAGGTTCCATTACAGGTTCTCTTGATATTTCGGATTCCAATTCAGGTTCTCTTAATCTTTCAGGTTCCATTACAGGTTCTATTGATCTTTCAGGTTCCATTACAGGTTCTCTTGATCTTTCAGGTTCGATAACAGGCTCTCTTGATCTTTCAGTCTCTATTAAAGGTTCTCTTGATCTTTCAGGTTCCATTACAGGTTCTCTTGATCTTTCAGGTCCCATTACAGGTTCTCTTGATCTTTCAGGTTCCATTACAGGTTCTCTTGATCTTTCAGGCTCTATTAAAGGTTCTCTTGATCTTTCAGGTTCCATTACAGGTTTTCTTGATCTTTCAGGTTCCATTACAGGCTCTATTAAAGGTTCCTTGATCTTTAATGTTACATTACAGGTTATCTTAATCTTTCAGGTTCCATTACAGGTTCTCTTGATCTTTCAGGTTCCATTTCAGGTTCTCTTAATCTTTCAGGTTACATTACAGATTTTCTTGATCTTTCAGGTTCCATTACAGGTTCTCTTGATCTTTCATGTTACATTACAGGTTATCTTAATCTTTCAGGCTCCATTACAGGTTCTCTTGATCTTTCAGGTTCCATTACAGGTTCTCTTGATCTTTCAGGTTCCATTACAGGTTCTCTTAATCTTTCAGGTTCCATTACAGGTTCTCTTGATATTTCAGATTCCATAAAAGGTTCTTTTGTAGATACATCTTTCAGGTTTCATTACAGGTTCTCTTGATCTTTCAGGTTCCATTACAGGTTCTCTTGATATTTCAGATTCCATAAAAGGTTCTTTTGTAGATACATCTTTCAGGTTTTATTACAGGTTCTCTTCTAAATACATCTTTCCTGTTCAATTAAAGGTTTCCTTCTTCACTTCTTTTAGGTTCCATTACAGGTTTTAATTCAGGTGAGTATGGATGGGATGGATGAGATGAGTTAGGATGGGAAGGTTGGAAAGGATGGAACGGATGGAACGGATGAAAAAGATGGATAGGATGGAAAGGATAGAATGGATGTAAAAGTTATAATGGAAGAAAAGGATGGAAAGGATGGAAAGGATGGAGAAGATGGAAAAGATGGAAAGGATGGAAAGGATGGGATGGATGGAAAGACAAAAAAAATGGAAAGGACGGAAAGGACGGGAAGGATAGTAAGGATGGAGAGGATGGATTGATGGTTAGGATGGAAAGGATTGAAATGATGAAAAGGATGGAAAGGATGGAATGGATGGAAAGGATGGAAAGGATGGAAAGGATCGAAAGGATGGAAAGGATGGAAAGGATGGAATGGATGGAATAGATAGGATGGATGGAATGGATGGAATGGATGGAATGGATAGAATGGATGGAAGGGATGGAAAGGATGGAAAGGATGAAAAGGATGGAAAGGATTGAAAGGATGGAAAGGATGGTAAGGGATTGAAAGGATGGGAAGGATGGAGAGGATGGATTGATGGTTAGGATGGATGGGATCCTACTGTGAATACATATTGGTTCTGAACCTACACAATGAAGTCCATGATAGGAGCTGCTTGAATTGTTATAACTCCAGCTAAAAATTTGATTTTTTCTTCGAACATCTTTTAGTCCATATAATTAATTCATTTTGCTAAACAAATCTGCCAAACCCTATTTCAATATTGTGCAAAAAAAACTCAATAAATAACTTGTAGTTTTTAAGTCATTTATCAAAAAAATAGTTTTTATTTAATTGTAAACTGTAATTCAGTATTTTTTTTTTAAAAAGAGTATTATTGTTTATGTCCAAGTCTTTAAAAGGTTTAAATACCTCTCCTAGATTCCATTGATTTGATTAAGTTTTAATGAAATTAGACTAATATTTCAAAAAGTTTTTGAGTTCGGAGAAAGTGAAAGGTTTGGAGAACGTAGCTTGGTACGAAGAAAGTAATTGGGTTCGGAATAGTAGTTCTGGGTTCGGAATAGTAGCTCTGGGTTCGGAATAGTAGCTCTGGGTTCGAAATAGTAGCTCTGGGTTCGAAATAGTAGCTGGGTTCGAAAAACGATGGAATTAACTGTTTCCTGAATATAGCTAGATTCAGATAGTTTAAAAGGTTCAGGAATCACAGGATAAAGTATTTGGTTCCTGAGAAAGTAGCTGGTTCCAGAAGATTTAGAAAGTTCCAAAGAAAAATAGTTGTTTCTTGAGAAAGTACATGGTTCTGGAGAAAGTAGCAAAGAAAGTTTACAAATTCTGGAAAAGTAGCTGGTTCAGCTCCAAGCTGGAGAGCAAATTCACTTTAGTTCCTGGAAACATTTGTAGATTGATTTCAGCTAAATTAGATTTTCGTGATCCAAGGCTTCACAATGTTTTGAAATCCGATCTCGACTCCAGGAGAAAGCAAGATATTTTATATCTTGGTTTAAAAACAAGAATTTTTCCATGAGAGGAAACACAAGATGCGCTAAAAAGCTGTTCTATGTCGTCAGAGGAAAAAACTCCGGAATAGACCAAAGATCAAGAAACTTCTTTTATATTTTACCTTTTAAAACAGGGAAATCTTTCTTAAAGTGAGTGTTCGTGAAAATGAAAGGGGGTGTTGGTTAATATAGAATTTTATTCGATATCGATCGTTACCAATATGTAGGCAATAGATAAAAGTAAAATTAGTAGCGATCGATACCGAATTCGGACCCACAAACGTCACGTCGGACCTAAGACTTTGAAACATCGGACAGTACAAACCAGGACAAACGTCGGACTGGGACAAACGTCGGACAGTACAAACGTCGGACCAGTACAAACTCGAGGAACTGAGTTCTTGCCACCAACTCAAATATTCTCATCCTTTGCAACCTGGTATGGTATTGACCTTTGATATTTTCAAACTTAAATTGTTTGATCTTATAGATTTCATAGGTTGAAATATTAAAGGTAATACGACATCGGGTTGCAAAGATATATGCATTGAAACATCAGAGTTTGTGACAATTGAACTCAACTCCATTTTTGGTCTGTTGTTTTATACAGTGCTACCTTCAAAGGATGAGTTAGAGACTTTATTCAGTTGTCTTTGATTTTCATCACAATAAGTGAGTGATTTTTAATCTATTTCTTATAGCAATGGTATTTTTTTCAAACTCAACCAAAGTCCGACGTTTTTTCTTTAAAATGTACCCGTCTGACGTTTGTACCAGTCCGATGTTTGTACCAGTCCGACGTTTGTATCAGTCTGACGTTTGTAAGTCCGACGTTTGTACTGTCCGACCTTCGTTAGCATACAACGTTTGTACTGGTACCCCAAATTCAATTACCCCCGATTCATTTTTTGCAAACACTCCCTTTAACTAGGGTCGTATACATTAACTTACTTCGTTTTTTAGAACTATTAAGATTTTGGAATTTTAAAAAGCACCACATAAATCCTTCAACTCTGCACAAAATTGTCCGAAGAGAAATTAGGGAAAAAAGAAAAATTCGTTTTTCTGCATATATCTTATCTAAGGGTACACATTTGGCAGTGTACGAAAAGCGAATTTTTAGAATTAAACAATTTTTGAAGTCTTAAAACTTAAAAAGCGAACCAAGTTATTGTCTCTCACTAGATATGAGGACTAAGCCCCCCCCCCC